ATCAAAACTATCGTCTTTTGTTATATGTTTAGTATTTATTTCACGATATAAAAAAAATCTGCAATTTTATTCAAAACAGTCTCAATAGCGGTGCGATAAAAGCACAAAAAAATAACTTTCTTTCTCATTCAAGAAAAAACAAAATTTTTGATTAACAAACAAGCCCAAAACTATCGCTTTTGTGTGCAAAAATGGAGAATTCAATCATTTATTAATTAATCAAATTTATTTTTTGCCTCACATTCCATTTCATCTTCGATTCTGTTTCGAAATCATTTACTTCTGTCTTTGTGCAATGTTAATTTATCGACTAAATGTCTACACATAAGATACGTGCTGCTTTAAAAAACACATCTATGTGGAGTACTTATAATGACCATTTACGACGTCGATCTGCTTTACATTCCATTCAATTAGACACTTTATTTACGAAATCAAAATCTCGTTTTAATGAAGAAGCGATATTATGTGATGAATTACGCGATATAGGCACATTATTAATGAAAAACTAAAGAGCTTTTGACCAACATGATGGAGGATAATGCGGAAATTAAGTTTATCACATGTACCGACTTATTACATCAACTTACGACATGCACTTGCTAGCACATTTATTATATTTTAATATGAACATATAATCAGGTTGTAAACTAGATTTTCTGACACCTTTAATAAAATTATTAAAGAGACTTTCTCATGCTTAACATACTCGATGTCATCAAGTCGAAATAATTTTTTTTTTCGTGTTGCGTAAAATTTTCTATCTGGGAATTTAAATGCGTCATTGAGATATGATATGTCCTATCATGATGACAGAAGTGAAAGTGATGCTGTAGGTCGGTGACATTCAGGATTTTTGAAGGTTGAGTCATTTATTTACGAGAGATAATGTGAAAATAATTTGAAATTGCTTCAGGGGCCGTTCACTTATGACGTCCAGGGGAGGGGGGGGGGGGTCATCAAAAAAAGAACAATAGAAATTCCCAGAAATCCATTGTTCTTTTTTGAAAAATGACCGTTAATTTCGGACGTCATAAGTGAACGACCCCTCATGTAAAAATCTCTTTTCAAACCTTAATAGCTTGAAATTGGGTTAATTTTAAAAGAATTCAAGTGAAATTAAATCTCCGTGGAGTTTCAATAATGTATTTTAAATTCAACCCTTTGGGCTCTCTTTAAGTATTTTGATGATTTCATTTTATGATTCAAAATTACAGTGATAAAGTGTGGCATTAAGGAGTTGTAATTTGTGAAACAATGTAAGATTGAATTGAGGTTGTTTGAATATTTTGGGGTTTTTAGGACAGATTGGCGATTTGTTCATAAAGTTTTTTGGATTGTAGATCTTTAGGTCGATTTAATGGACTTTGGCAACCTCCCTTCCTCCTCCCCATAGCCACACTAATGAATTGAAACTCACAACTGCTCATCTAGCTTCAAAAAGCTTCAGTAAATTGCATTAGCAACCTCACAATAATAACTGCAGCTGTCCACAATAATTTCTATCTAAAATGATGTGCAATTAATCTTACTATGAAATCTGACTATCCACTTAAGCAGTGTCGTGCAATCTTTTTGAGCCACGGCACACTTTAGGGGTAAGCCATATATAAAGTTGCAAGCAGCAAGCGGCTCGTGTTATTTTCGAAAAATTCCACAACAATTCAGTGTACCGCGGCACACAGTTTAGACAACACTGCACTAAAGGCTAAATCTTCAATAGCTTCATAATTTTATGAATAAATTCTGCACAAAAAAAATTCAAAACCTCATTGCAATTTGACATTTATAAATTATAATCAACCTCTAGAAATTGCAAATGAATCATGATAAATTTCCAATCATTTAGTCAACACCATAGCTGTCAATATCATCCAGTATTTTCAAAAGAATTTGTGTAATTCAATTACAAAATAGCAAATAAAAATTACGTCAACAACGGCACATCAAACATTATAAAGATTATGTCTCGCCTCGCTAGAAAAGATGACGCTTATAGCAAAAAAAAAAAGAAGTAGTGGTATCACAAGTTAAGGCAAGTGAGCTTTAGATGGAACAAATTGTCGATGTAACATCTTGACAACGATTGAAGAAATTTGTAGTGCTTCGTGTTATGCAAAATATTAGTTTTTTTTGCACATCTGGATGCATTTTGTGCTTACTTTCTTGTTTAGTTGCTTGTTCAATATGCAAATTTCTATGACTTTTAATGAAATTTTAAAAAAAAAAACAGATTTTCTACAATAATAATGGAAGCAACAGCATTTTTATACATATTTTACATAATAATAATAATGGTTAAGCAGCATTAAGCATTATGGAAATTAATGCGTAACTAAAAGAGCTTCTATGGCAACAAACAACTTACTGTGAGACTAAAATAGGAAGATCTGAATCTGATGGGCAGCATAATGTATGAAAATGCTATGAATTTATTAGAATAATGAAATGGAGTTGCTGGTGTGGATCAAGGGGGTCTTGTGAGATGGAATGGAGATTTCAAAAAGGGTGCACTGGGGCCAAGGATGTGATAGCAGGATAAAGGAGTTGTACTTAGTGCTTAAGGACCCACAATGTCTCAAAATGTTGCAAAAAGTCGAAAAAGTATGATGCTAAAACTTGTCAGAGGTAACTAGGAAGCTTGTCATAACACCGCACACCCCAACAAGCCATAAAATTACCCAAAGCCAATTCGTTCAACCCAGAAGACAAACATAATTTCACATATGTAACAAAATAATTCAGTAAATCACACATGTGAACCATTAAATCAACCAAATAAGCATCAACAAGATATTTCGTAAAATAATTTTACTTACAATTTATGTATGTACTAGGTTAAATGCAGTGCATGGGCAGGTTATGCGATTTCATTAATTTTCATGTTTACGCGTAACTTTAAAAACCATAATATTTATTTGTAACTTAAATAACAGAAACCGAAGGCACCAAAATTGGCAGTTATAGCTTTCTACGCCGCAGACTTTACTACAAATATGTAACAGAATTTTACCACAAATGACGACTCAGATGATGATGATGAAATTGCACGTCTCAAATGCGTTAATTTTTTTTCCATGATTCAATCTATCTCTAATGACATTTTTGTCTCATTTCTCATAATGCAATCGCTCGCATTTGAAATTCAATTTAAAGCTATGAAATAAAAATAGAAGTAGAGTGTGGTGACAAATGGAATTTTAAGTAGCAATTCATTTAGTTAAGGCTGTGTGTGCTTGGGAAAAATAATGTTGAGGGGTATAGCTTTGTCGGTTAGTCTTGGTGGACGTTCTCCAATGAGTTCTAGCTTATAATAGACATAAAAGGAACCTTGAGCTGGAATCTGTTACTATGACTCCTTAGGGCACCCTCCCTACCTAGTCAGTAGTATTCAATGTAATCTGGTGTAATCCGTTTATTTTTAAAACTATAGCTATAGAAACCAGCTCCTGATCAGTTATCTAGCCAGATAAAAATTATTAAACATTTTAAAAAAATTGTGGAATTTTTTTTGTTTTAAAATTTCATAATTTTTTTTTGTCGATAATTTTTCACTCATCTGCAGCTGTCTAAAGATTGCTACTTACAGTCATTACCGCACAACCTCAGTTATCTGTGTCATCTCATCATATTTAAATATCAAAGAAAGGTAAAATGCCAAGAATATCATGAAGATTACTTAATTCCATCACAAAACAGCTTCTATTTGATTTCCAGTAGATTTTCATTATAAATTTACGTGACTTAGTCAGCATGTAATAAGTCAAATTTCTTCATCAAATAAAAGGAATATTTATAAATTGATAAAAATCTTTTCAAATCACTGAAAATGTTAATGCTCCACAGTAGATACACAGCGGGTCAAATCAGCATATTTACATATAAGTGAATTCGCAGATTATTTGCATAAACTGAAAGGCGGATTTTTGGCAATTATTGATGATGTGATGATATTTTGTTTTTAAATCTCGTAGGAGGTTGCGGAACAGAAGTAATGATTAGCCACAGTAGGAGATTTTATTCGATTTTATTGTGTGAAATTGCGTTTGGGAATTGTTGTGATTTTAAAATGAACTTTTTCGTTTATTTCTCAGTACCTGAATATGCTGATGATTTGGAGAATTAAAACCAATTTTAGCTATGCTATCAAATGTGATCTTGAGTTGCAATAATGAATTGAGAAGCCTTCGAAAGAAAGGATATGAACTTCATTTTTAGTTTAAATCATACGAAAAAGTAGAATGGAATATTAGGTTTTGAACCTACATGCGATTGCTATCTTGGTATCACAATTATTAGCTAGAATGCTAAACCAATACACCACAAAGCTATTACTTCTACCTCAACTACTAAGTTACAGATCATCCAAGTATTTTAAAAAATTATTCAATATCATAAATTGCAAATAAACCAAAACAAAATGCGCTAAAATTACATCTGTAAATCAGCTTCCATTCCACAACAATCTCGGTTACAGAAACGAGACACAAGCAGAAGAAAAAGAAGCAATAAGAAACTGTTAAGTCATATCTGCGTACGGTTAAAAAATCGAAGAAAAATAAAAAAAAGAAACAAGATCACTTTTCCTTTCAATATTTTAGACAAATATACCCAGCAGCACGAGAACTCAATGCGACGATCAAATACCTCTCTTTTTTTTCAACTTCTCTATCTCAAGTACAAACACACAGTTGAGCTTATTTGCTGCTTTTTTTTCTCTTCGTTTTCTTTTTTGGTTGGCGGTTTATGTGTTCGAATGTATCTACAGCCCATTCCTCTTTACCATTGCCTTTTTTTCATAATTCAATTCAGTTTCAATTCAGACGCGAAACGATCGTCATCGAAACTGAATGAGTGCATCGTGAATATTTATTTATTTTTCTAAGACTTTGTCAAAAAATTTCAAATTTTTTTTTTGTATTGTTTGAATAATTAATTCAACCATTGACGTTGTTAATTAATTCACATAGAAAAGTGAATTCCAAGTGGGACGAAGATTTTTAACAGAAGAAATTTCTATTTTTCATGCATGTGAAAATATCGAGAAATCACATACGAAATTAATATATTTTTTAGAGAAAATAAAATAACGAAAAAAAAGAATCAATAAATGTGAATAAAAAAAGAAAGAAAAAAGAAAAATTTTCGCCTCATATCAAATGCAAATTACAAAGTGAATCCGGCAAAATACAATAAAAATTTATTTAAATTTGTTCGGCAACATTTTTTTTGTGTCTCTTTTCTAATCGTGTAGAAATTTTAATCTTTTTGTGAGAAATATTTCGGAAATTTACAAGGATATTATTGAGATTATCATTGCGCGTAAGAGGAACTATCTTTAAGGTAAGATTGAGGATTATTTTTAAAACTTGTAAGGAATCATTTGCTTGTGAAATTGTTTGATTTCAAATTGAATCCGTGTGTGGCTTTAAATTTTGTATGAATATACAAAATAGATAAAAATCTCGAGTCGATTTTGAATTTTGGTAATTCTTAATTTTCCACTCGATCTTAAAACATTTTTCATGAATTTTTCAAATTCCACTCAACCTTGTCCCAACTTCAAAAACTCCAACAGATCATTAACCTAAACATTAAAACATTGATTTTCAATAATTATTCATCCCAAAACTCAATATCTCTTCCCACACCAAAATTGAATTGCTTTTTCACGAATTTAAATATTTCTAGCCAAAAACAATCATCCAATAAAGCTACCAAAGGAAAAACTTATTGTTATCTTCCTTTTTTCAATATTCTTTCATGAATAATTTTGCATTAGGAATTAATTTTATTCCAAATACGAGACTGTGAGCTTCTTTAACTTAAGTATTCGTAAAACTTATGAAAAAAAAAAGACAAAAAGATTAAAATCGAGAATGTCGCAGTCAGTGCATAAAAACATTTAAAAGATAAAGAATTGGAAATTGATGTGACTTGAGATTATCCAGGAGTAAAAAAAAGCTATGCAATTGTGGTGGAATTAAAAAAAACTAAAGTGATGAAAAATTTTATTGAATTTTAAGATAAAGATTTATTGCTTTATCTGGGTTTTGATGATTGTAAGAATAAATTTGTGTCAGGAATATTTTGAGATGCTGGGTGACTAGATTATGCGAACTGTAACTGATCGATACAATAGGAACAAGTGCTAGGCTTCGTTTCTGGAATACTTTAGGCTTCATTAAGTATGGTCAATATTTTTACAAATAATTGATTTTTAATGACATAACCTGCCTTTAAAAATCTTTAAAATCCTAGTTTTTTACGAAATAATTTCAATAAATTACAAATCTAAGCTAGTGAATGATAATCATTGAAACTAGACAGAATGGTCACTCAATAAATGTTTCAAATGTTTTAGCAAATCAAATCGAACTTTATTCTCATTATTATGGCTGATTTTGCAAAGACTTGACTCCTTCCAACAGAATCCACTTTTAAAGTCTGTCAGATATCTTCAAAGATTTAATTTTACGTGAGTAAATTTAATTATGGCAAAACTGATACTCAGCATCATGGACATTACCAATGAATCTGCGATAATATGCATGTTAAATTCAAGGAAAAAAAATTAAATTACTCATCTAGAACTGTTGCATGCGTTCATGGACACTTTTAAGATTTATCTTAGTACTTAGTCATGAAAAATTAAAGATTTCATTGAATTAAAATATTTTTCAGTCATGGAATCTTAAAAAATTACGATCAGAATTATTTGTATCGTCTAGGAAATAATTACCGAACATAAAGTCAATTTAGCACTGAATCAAAAAATTAATAGCCAATTCTAAAATTTCATTATTTGATGTCTTGTGAAGGCTGGACATGTCACACAACCGAAACGGATCTAATTTACCAATTCAGTTGAATAACAGCATCAATTCATTTGCGAAAAATCCTATTATTTTAGAAAATTGATAGCTGATGCTTGAATCGGTGAATTCATTGGATACGATTGATTTTATCTTTATTTTATGATTTTGATCAGAATTTGTCACATGAATTGACAGTTCTATTAAAAATTAATTATTTTAATCTTTTGGATAGTTGAAGCTGATATCAAGCATTACTAGTGACACTGTATCAGCTTCTGGTCACTCATATGTCTCTACTGAATTGAATATTAAAACTCTGAACTAACAAAATCAGCTACAATCTTAAATGTTTTGACACTGCAAACTTGACTTTATTTAAAAAAAAAAATCTTCTGACGATGTTGACGCTTTAATTTATCTTAAATGATGGATTGTTTTCAAGGCATGGCAGATGTAATTAATTAAAGTGATTTTAAATGAAGATAAATTTTTCTGACATTCGATATGTCCCTTTTTAAGATGAAAATAAGGCTGGCTGATGGGATTGGTCATTTGAGAGATAATCAACGTCAGAAGCTGATTAGTGTCTTTAGATTTAAAGAGTAATGGCGGTTTAAGATGGGACAATAGGAAATGAGTTTTTTTTTTTGCGGAAATTTTTGGGAGGTTGAAAAGATTTTGTGGGTTTTTTGCTGGATTAAAAACTTGTTTGAAATTTGGCAAAATTAGTTAAGTCATTGTTTAAGGATTGGTAATGAGCTGATTCAAGCTTCCTATTTCTGGTGTCACATCTAAACTGCACTGAACCTATGTAAACTAAATAAAAAATTAAATACTTCACAAAACGTGACTGAATACTTCAAACAAAATTCTGAATTCCTTTGCTTCCCAGCAATTACTGATTCAACTCAAACATTCCTTTGAGCCAGCAATATTATGCAATTCAGCGGTACACTTCTCATTATTTTTTAAACTCAATTAATTACCCTTTTAAATTCCACTCTTAAATATTTTTAAATACCCATTGTGTACGTGCAAAATAATCTCATTATTAAAAAAAATAATTTAAAATAAGCAAAAATCTATAAATTGAGTTTCTATTTCAATTAATACTCAGTTCAGTGCCATTCCAATAAATTCCTCCATGATCTCGGTTTTCTGGAATTACTTTAAATATTGATACGTTAATAGACTACAGGATTATTATAAAACTTTGTAATGTGACACTATGGAGCTGTTGATCATGTTGAGGATTTTATGGGCATGTATAGCGAATTAATTGATGCTTATGTATTGCAATTAAAAACTTAAATTACGAATAAATTGATAATAAAATTTTACACATGCTGATATGAAAACTGCCAACAACTTTCTACTTGTTTTTCGTGTGAAATTCCAATCAAAAAAGGAAAACTTGTGTTATTGACACATTTGGCACTTTTGCCATTTGATTTGTTGACAGTATTTTAATTCCGTGATGAAATATTTGCACTTTTTCTCTAGTTTGAAGCTATTCATGTCAAATTAAATGGTTATGTTGCTGCCAGTTGATGTTTTGAATTGATCGATGAATTGTAGTTTTGAGGAAAAATTGCAATTTGCAACAATGAATTTATCAGAATTTTCAATAAGGTTTTGTGCTTGTTTTTGTTGTCATATTATAGAAAATGATCTGAGTGTGTGGTTTTGAGGATGATTTGAGGTTATTTCTAGGTTATTTTCTAAAGAATGACTCAAAACAGATCACAAGGCATTCTTTCGTTTACTTGTCATGATAAACAACCTTCTTTGGCTCCTACTATGCCACTAATATGTTATTGCTTTTTAAAGTTCAACAGCATCCAACTAAAGTGTGCCAAAATTAATCCACAATCCTAATAAATTCTCTGCATCCTTTCCACACTCATTTCCCGTCCAAATCTCTCAATCTGATAAAAATTCATCACTCTAAATTGTTTCATGATTAATAGCCAACAATACATCTCCAAACTTTCCTCATTACTAACAACTAAAATCAACTCTCATTGCACAAAGCAAGATTATACTTGACATAGGCCATAAAACACACTAAAAAATTTCTTCAATCTAAATTCTGGCAAATTGTCGCCGTCTGTGGAATAAAATGAGAAATATTTCGTAACATTTATCATCGTGGACGAGTTCTCATGAATTTTTTTTTAAAAAAAAGACAATTTCTTTTCGGAACAGAAAGACAAAAGCATTTGAATTTTTATGCGTTTTACGTGATTTTTCATTTTCGCTTTTGTGGAATGTCGAGTGACTTGCCAAATAGATTCAATTTTTGCCATTCAACAATACGTCAGACTGCGCAAGAAGTCATGAGAATTATTTACAATGATTACGATGACAGTTATTTACTTAGCGGCAACAGATGATGATTGCAATTGCTCAATAAACTTGAACCAATAAAATAAAGTTTTTTGCGCAAATTGTGGAAACGTAACAGCATACATAGTTTATGGTAATAATTTACTAGTTTTTGAATATAAAAGTGAATGTTAATTACAGTTCAGGATGTATTGCACTTAAAACAACAGATCTGATGAAATGAATGACTTATAATAGCTCACAATTTTTTAATAATTTCCACTCTTTTGTTCAAGCTATAAACATACATTTATGAATATCATTTTTAAGTTTTGTGTTTCGTACTTAATATGGATATACGTGCAATATTTTAATCTTTCATTTGTCTTTTGCAAGATGAAGTAAAAGAGCTATTTTATTCAAAAGAACAAAGCAGCAAAAGGCAGCAATTTCATCGCATTTATGCGGTTACATAAAAAATGAGATCTTCTTTGAGTCTTTCTAAACATTCCATATACTTTGTTTGTTTTTTTTTTCTGGTCGATTTAGCTGGAAAATTTGTTTGGTTATTCAGTTTAGTTGCTTTGTGTGTTGTTGGCTGGGTTGGTGGAATTTATGGTAGAAAATTCAATTTCTACAATTTTACTGAGCTTGTTAATTTAAAATTCTATTATCAACTTCAACTAGACATTAAGATAGTGTTTAAAAACCTAATGATCGAGAATTTCCAAACAGATCAAAGAATACTCAATTTTATACGCATCCTTACTTGAAAGACATGGCTATTTGAGGTTAGAATTCATATTCAGCATCAATTCTAATACTTTCCGGTATTTCCCAATTCAAATCTGCGCCTAATCCAAACACCTCAAATTCACCTCGATTTTACCACCTCATGCACATACCTAACATCTTAAAAATATTCAAACATAACAATCTCTTACGGAAATAATCAACAATAAGGTTCTGGTTCAATAAAAACAAAAGATTTTAATCAACCTGTTGTTTCTGTTGCTGGCAGCAGCAGCAAAAGTTAAGATTAGTAAAGTAAAAAAAAAAAACAGGGCTTGCCATTGGCCATGTAGCATCATGCCGAGATCTCAAGCTAAATCAATCCCTGACACACTTTGAAATTCAATAATAATCAAGCAAAAATTAGAGATTAAATTTGCTCTGACTGTGTGTTTTAAGCTACTG